AGAGCAAACTGTCTGATGCAATCCAAAACACACATACATACACACAAATTGAGCTTTCCACTCCCTTTCCTGTGATAATATTGAGAGAGGTTCACAGTAGACCATACCCTGCTGTTCAAGTAAAGTTAGTTAGTCAACTACAACAAAAACAGTGACTGGGAAGTGAGAGGAGAAACAAGGAGCTTTACAGGCAGGGAGAGAAAGAGAGAGGGGGTGGAAATATGATTGGGAAGGAGAGAGAAAAATCATAGGAACATAATAAAACATATTGACTGTTTACAGACATAAGAGCAATAATTAATTGTTCCTTGGGTACATGCTGTTCTCACCCTTCAGCTCAGCTCCACAAATTATTTTGCACTCAGACAATAGATAAATATACACTAAAGTATTTAGTAGCAAATAGAGTCTGACTAATTGTGAAGCCTAAAGTTGGTAAAATGGAAAACCCCTTGGATAGAACTGAATACAAAATGTGCTATAACTATTAGTGTAATTAAACCATCTAGCTTTTTGCTTTTTTAATTTCAGTGCTTCACTTTATACCTTTACGCAGGACTTTATAGACTTTGAAGACAGGACTAAGCATAGGCTCTCTTCTTTTCTTCACTTTCATCTCTAATTATATTTTAAAATCTTATAATTTTAAAATCCCTTTTAAAAAAAAATAGATTTGTTCAGTGTTATGGAATCAAGTGCAAATACACATGTAATAAAAAAATCAGCAAAGAGTTTGCTAATGCTTTATAACTCGTTACAGATGACCTACTATGGATTTTTTAAAATAATTGGACTGGTTTCCTTTTTTTGCTTTATAATATAGACCAGAATGAGTCCCTGGCATGTGTTTTTACCTAAGAAATATCATAGAAACGTAGGACTAGAAGGGACCTCGAGAGGTCATCTAGTACTCTAGTCCATCCACCTCTCACTCCCTCGGGCAAGGCCAAGTATACTTAGACCATCTCTGACAGATGTTTTGTCTAACCTGTACTTAAAAACCTCCAATGACAGGGATTCCACAACCTCCTTAGTTAAGTACTAGAATAGGTTACCAATCCTTATGGTTGGACAATTTTTTTCCCTAATATCCAACCTAAATTTCCCTGGCTATAGATTAAGCAGATTACTTCTTGTCCTACCTTCAGTGGACACGGAGAACTTCAGGTAGGAGAAAAGCAGGCTTGTCAAGTCTGTCTTCTCTAGTTTTGCTGGAGGACCTCTCAGGATCTCAGAGAATTTTCATTGCCATCTCTCACACATTAAATCGACAGAGTGGGGGCGCTGAATCATTAACAAAGAAGCCTTCCTCCCAGTTGTTAGTCACTCATGCTTAATAGGCATTGCCAAAACAGAGTTTAACAGTTACATAAAAATCCTCCACCTTCTTTTGGTGTAGACACATGCATAACGAGGCTGATGCAAACCAAGTTTACATGGACCTAACTTTGTAGTGGAGACCAGACTTCGGCTGCTTAACATTTACTCACTTGACTTTTGTGATATTACCATTTCACTAGTTAGGACCTGAATTTCTTATGTTAAAGAAAAAATAATTAAACCCAACCACCGGCTTTCAGGTTGTCTTCGTACAAAGAACAAAAAGGATACAAGCCCATTTTCCCTTTTCCTCTTTCGTGGCAGGTTGCCTTTAAGATTCTAAATCTACCATTGCCACATACAACTCACTACAGAATTACTTTTTTGAAGAATTCAAGTTTACTGAAGCAGCCCAAATATCCTACTGTACTTTTCAGACCACTTATCCTCTACAATTCTTACGTAGAAAGTAAAGTTCCTGGGACCACTAATTCTACTGCAGCACTACTTTTCCCAGGAATTCAGTATTGGCTCAGAAACAGTAATTTCCTAAATGGTATATTGCCCTTCACAGAGAAGTTTTACATGACATGAAAAGAATCTAATAAGAAATCTTTTATTATACAGAAAAATCTATTATCTATAGTCAATAGATGGCTTAATATTAACATGAGTCTGTTAAAAAGGAACACTCTCAAGTTAGTGCACACTAGTCAACCTACCATAAATCAGATCAATATATTTCAGCTTGAAATACAACAAAATCCAATGGAGCTAGAGAATATTAATAAGACATTCCTAAGTATCTAGGAAGGTATTAGAAACAAAAGGTATACAGGCATTCATTGTTTCTTTCAACAGTTACTTATTTAATACATATTAAGCTCTCTCTTGTTCATACTTCTACAATGGAGGAACACTCAATAGTAGGTATTCAAAGCCCATTACAAGCAATCAACGTTTTGCATGTTTCAGTTCCTTCAACAAACCTTTTCACTTACCAATTAAACGGATATCAGTAAAAACTACCTCAAATTGTCCTAGGAATGTCAGACAGTGGATCTGACCATTAGACAAGCAAAGTTATTTACAGCTCACTTTTTTTTTCTCCTAGCAGGGTGAAAATACTTTCAGCATATTACATTTCTAGCTTTCCTCATTAAAGTCATAGGAAACTGTAAAATGACTGTGAAGAGGTCAATTTAATTTAACACTTACATACCAGTATAGTTTTCCAGATAGATATTGAGTGTACTAGGAAGCTCTCTCAAGGAGTAGTCACATTTCAAAAAGACAACACTAGGTTTTCTTCTCCTGCTTTTTCCCCTCTTATCTTTGGACAACACTGCCTTAGGAGTGGGCCATACAAACTTGCCATCTTATACAAATGCCATCTTAGATTACAAGAGCATTTTTTCCATCCACTTGCTCTAAAGTGAACTGAATACATTAAGTATCACTTTCCTTAAAGACAATGCTGGCTGACTTTAAGATGGGAATGGTTTCTTTCTCCTAAATGAGAAGTTCAAAGCTAATTTCCTGCAGCCATGGCAGAGACTTTAATAGTACTCTGAGGTAGCCATTTGAAGTGACAGCCCTTATAATCATAATATAAACTATACATAAAACTGGCACTTATAGATCTCTTAATTCCAAAGCATGGTATAAACTAACTAATCAATAGAGACTCTTCAGGATAAACTCACACCTTTCTTTCAGACATTGTCAGGGCGAGCAGATTTCACATTCACCTGGACTACTAGTAACAGTTTTTTGGTCCCAATAAAAGAGCCCAACAGTATGCAACACCTTCCTTGGTAAAGCGTCCAGATTTATAGGTACTCCACGAGTTTTCAGCTAAAGTGGCTACTTTGGGATTTTGGAAGAGTTGCTAGCTCTAGCCACACACTATGTTACTTGCAAACACTGTTAATATTGACCAATACTGAGACCAAGTATTGTACAAGGATCTGGTAATAACGGTGAGGGCTACAACCAAAGACAAGATAGAGTTTGTCAAGGGGAATACAGTGGGGTCTAACAGCTACAAGGAGACTTGTTTCCTGGCTCCAATGGCGCCGTCTCCTACAGCTATCTGTATGAAATCCCCATCTGATATTTGCTGGGATATGGAGCACCCTAGGCTACTGCGAAATTGTCATAAGGAAACACAAATGCAGCTAGGTTACCATTTATTTAGAGCAGGAAAAGAGGCTGCTCTATCAGAAAGGGCTGCGAGAATAAGTCTTGATATACCTCCTCCAGTCAGATGAAGACATGCAGTTTTATTGCTTATTTAGAATAAAAAGAAATTCTATTCCAGTAGAGATTTTCTGCAATTAGACTACAGGATTGTCCTTTCAAACCTCAAAGGTCGTACTTTAAGCAGTTTTACTCAAACTCTGAGCCTTCCCTGGTGCCAAGCAGTCTGCTGTATGTACTGGCTGAAATGCTATACTCCTTCCTCCAGCAAAAGTCCCAATGAGCAAGGACTGTAGCACTTGAGCTTCTGAGTTTATTCAGAAAGATCACCAGTTAAGCTAGCGAATTGTAAGAAGTCTGGAAAGTTTTCTCCCCCTTCAAGGCCAGAGATCTGGCAGATCCTCAATGTATCTCTTCAGTATCAAGAGCAGGTTTCTCAAAGCAGATCCCTCCCTGCATGCTTCTCTTTTAATTTTACCCTTATTTTTAATAACCTGTCTTGACACAATACCCTTCCATTATTTAACTCACATTTTTGAATGAGTAACACCAGTCTCCAATAGTAAGTGTTATCTAAAAAGAGGAAGTATCCAAAATAAGTAAGAGGAAGAAAAGAGGGAATCTGATGACCAAGTCTGATTGTCATGCTCACAGCTATTTACAGATTTCAAGACTCTTTCAACTTTAAGTAGGGCTGCTCAATAGGCCAAATGATGAGGAAAAAAACAAGGAAGGAAACAGTGTTGGAAAAAATAATTTAAATAAAACAAATCCTACCTACCCTCTCTCCCAGTGACCTGCAACATGAAGACATTTATTTTCATAGAAAGACAGTGTTTTCCTCTTGTGCATTATCTACATATAAAATTAGCACTTAAATTGCTTTTGGTGCTAATCATTTTATTTTAAAGGGTTAACATGTGAATATGGCACTTCTTGCTGAACACATCTGTTCCCCGTGCCTTACGTTAGGGACAAAAAATAAGCTTCTACTACCCTATACTCCTGCTAGTGCTACATAGACAACAAAGCTATAGAGAAGTGAGCAAGGTTTTTGATCTCGTCAACCAGGGGCAGGTTCACAGAGCTTTTCACCAGCCCTCAACAACAGCGGCGCTGCAGGGCCCCCGGCGCCTCACACCGAACCCTGGGCTCTAGCTTCAGCTGCCTACGAGCTCTCTGCATGGGAGCCCGGCGCCCGCTTCCCAAGGCGCGCTGGAGCCGGAGGGGAGGGCGGCGCCCCTGCGCGTTGCAGTGGTCAGGTGCGGGAGAGCAGCGGCGGCACTCCCTCCCTGGGGCGCGCGCGGAAGGATCTGTGTTGACTTTCCGCGGGGGCGGGGAGAAGTGAGATGCTCGCTCGCCACATAACGAAGCGCATATACAGACGCGAGTAAGTTTGAGCTGGTACGGCCCCCGTAGTTTTCGTGTCGTGTCTTCCTTGTTCTGTGGAATTCCATGTCCGCCCCTGTCGGGCTTTTATGGACCCCCTCCCGGCCGTGCTGGGCGCCGCTGCCCTGCTGTTGCTGCTCCTCGCTGCGCGGCTTCTCCTAGCGAGGCGGAACAGCAGCCCGCGGACAGCTCCCCTCAGCCTCCTGGTGGTGGCCGGCTCCGGTGAGTAGAGACGGGCCCGATCCCGGCCGGCCGGCAGAGGGCAGCACAGCGCACCGGCAAACTCCCACGGGCTGTCGCCGCCGTGAACTACAGCTTCCAGCACGGCCTCCGCTGCCCCCGGGAGCGGCGCATGCTGGGAAGTGTAGTCCTGTAGGTGGCGGCTCGGCGGCGGGTAGTCTGGGGCATGCTGGGAAGCGTGCTCGAGCCTTGCACGGCGGTGCGGCTTGGAGCTGTAGTGTCCCCACAACAGCTCTGTCCCGAAATGGAGAGCTGGCCGGCGGGGCTCCTGCGGCAGGGCGCCCGCCTCGGCGGGAGGGCCCCAGAGAAGCAAGAGGCAGCTAAGGGAGGGCGGTGGAAAGTGGAGGTAGGCGAGTGAGGTCCGAGGGACAATGTGAGGAAACCCGCGGGGGCATTAACAGAGAACACAGGGTGATGCCCAGGGAGTCATGGGTCCTGCTTCGGCAGCCAGGTGGGCTAAAGAGCCAAAGGGCGTTACACCCCACACTGCGGCGAGTAATGCTATTAGTGCGGTGTTTTATGTTTCTGCTGTAATATGCAAGACCACTTCATCCACAACTGGGTGACAAGAGTAGTATTTTATTATGTTAAGAGTGTAACCTTTCCATTGCTAGGATTGCAAAAATCAAGCTCCAATACTCACGGGGTCCTTTGTGTGCTACCATTATATACTTATTTATTAATAATATTAACTCTTATCCCTGTCTGGGATGGAGCTCTGTGGCTGTCATAGAGGTTGGCAACACCACACAGCTGTATGGGCAGCATGTGAAGTATAGGATGTTGAGGGAAATTACATTAAGTATATTTTAAGATCTTGCTATGCTTTCAAGGAAACAAACACTAGCTGTATCACTTATTCTTAAGGCACAGAAAACTAAGTGTGAAAGACACCTTCTACAAGGAAACGTGAGGTTAAGAGGGAGTGGGCCTCTTCTGGAATGACAACAGAAGAGTATATGATACAATACACACAAATCTAGAGAAGAATTAAGCATGTGGTAGCATCTTTTGCTCCATTTTAGCTTGTTTTACAAGCCCCCTGCAGTGCATAGTTGGGCTTTTTACTTAAACTTCATTTTTGCATCCTTAAAAAAAAACCAATACATTATATTTGCTGTGTGAAAAATCACTCACATCAAACCCAGTGAAGGATTAAGGTAATTTAAAAAAATAAAATAAAATAAACCACACTAACAAAGATACGATTGAGTTTGAACCTGGGAGCCTCTTCCTATAGTGCCACTATTATAGATTTAAATAAAGATTTTAAACTTTTAATCCCACTACTGATCTAAGAAGATCTTCTTCAGAACACTTCCAAAAAATATTGTGCAAAAATGTATGTAAAATTGACAATTTTGCCTAGGTGCTGAAATATGGCAGTCTAGATACACCTCTACCCAGATATAACGCTGTCCTCGGGAGCCAAAAAAATCTCACCACCTTATAGGTGAGACGTTATATCGGGTTCGGTCCAGTACGGCGTACCGGCAAGAGCCAGCACGCCGTGCCGGACTGGACCGGCTTCCCCGGTGGTGATTTAAAGGGCCTGGTGCTCCAGCCGCAGCGGGGAGCTTCGGGCCCTTTAAATCACTGCTGGAGCTCCGGCAGCGGGGCTCAGGCGGGGATTTAAAGGGCCCGGGGCTCCACAAGGATTCAGATGTAATGCAGTAAAGCAGCGGGGCTCGGGTGGCACTTTAAAGGGCCCAGGGCTCCCCGCTGCTTTACCGCGTTATATCCGAATTCGTGTTATAGCGGGTCGCATTCTATCGGAGTAGAGGTACCATGTTTTTTTTCTGTCAGTCTCCTGCCATGGCATATTTTGGGTGTTAGTCTTCCAGATGATATTTGCCACCAGTGAAAATGGACACCAGCTGACGGAGTACAACTGGTTTTACTTACTTTAGTTTGGTCTACCTCTGCAACTCCATGGCAGAGTGAAAGTAACTAGGGCCCCAATCCTGCAAACACATGTACTCAAATGAAGCATAACTGCAAGATCAGGGCATAAAATAATACAATCCTAGAATCCGATCCTGCATACCCCAAGGACAGGGAATTCCCATTAGCTTTAATGAGAGCGTTGCACTTGCAGCTTACAGGAGTGGGATCATATTCAGTTTCACTATTCAACTGGCTACCTGCGTTGCGTGTCTTTGCACATGAGTATAGTGTAACTGTGTGCCTGCTCCTCCTAAAAAGCAGGGGGGGGGGGAAATGCAGGAGGAAGAAAGGAATAAAAATGAGAGGTACCTACGTTTTAAGACTGGCCCACCAAAATTTTAGTACACAAAGTTGTCATGTTATCAATGTATAAATAAGGTTACATATATAGAGTCGCATGAGGTTCTATTAACAGGCAAATTGACTATTTATGGGATGATATGGCAGTCCTCCAACTGTTATAGTTGTCTTACCTTGACATAAAAGACCAAACTTTGTTTTAACAATACTTTTAAAATAACTCTACGGCCTAGTGAAGATCAGGCGCTAGATTAGTTACACTGGTAGAAGCTAGTGAAAAGCAGGTGGCAGGGCAGAGTTGGAGTGATACAAGGACATTTGTAATCACAGTATCCCATGTTGCTTCCAGATGGCCAGCATAGACCCAAAAGTGTTGGTGCTGGCTGGTAAGGGGATCATGACCAGGAATGGCTTGCATATAGTGATAACGTGTCCAAGGCTTTAAGTCTGACCATAGGATATAGTTAAGACATGTGTCAAACCCCATCCTCTCTGCAAATTGCAAGTGTGCAGTAAACAGGTCAAGATTCAACTGTGCTATAACCAGAACAGTTGTCTCAGCTGTATTTGTGGCATATATATGACATTGGAAAACAAAGTCTCTATAGTAGGTCCTCTGTATGGGCCTGGTCCAACTCTCATTTAAAATCAGTGAGTCTTTCAATTAACTTCAATGAGTGTTGAATGGTCTCCGTATTACCTTAACCATCACAAACAGCCCCTAATTAAATTCCCAGCTCTCAGAGGAGGGTGAATGAGGCTAATATTAGCAATGTCTCTCGAAGGAAAAAGTGACCCCCCAGCAGCATGTTTTCAATTGGGAGTTGCTAAATATTTCATATACTAACTAGCTTCGATGGTTTTTCCCCCCCCAGGAGGACACACAACAGAAATCCTGAGGTTACTCAGCAGTTTGTCCCAGTCATACTGTCCTCGACATTACATTTTTGCAGATTCAGATAAAATGAGTGAAGATAAAATACGTACTTTTGAACAAAAAAGAGCTGAAACTTTCTCCAATTCCCAGGTAAGTTAAATACATACTCATAAGAAAGCTTGATCATTTGTACATGATATAGTACAGTAGAACCTCAGAGTTATGAACACCAGAGTTACAAACTGACTGGTCAACCACACACCTCATTTGGAACGGGAAATACGCAGTCAGGCAGCAGAGACCAAAAAAAACCAAAACCAACAGTATGATACTGTGTTAAATGTAAACTACAAAAAAATAAAGGGAAAGCAGCATTTTTCTTCTGCATAGTAAAGTTTCAAAGCTGTAGTAAGTCAATGTTCAGTTGTAAAACTTTTGAAAGAACCACCATAATGTTTTGTTCAGCATTACAAACATTTCAGAGTTATGAAGAACTTCCATTCCTGAGAAGTTTGTAACGGAGGTTCTAATGTAGTTTAAATAACCTTTTAAAGAATTACTGAAACCAGTAATGTTACTCGTTTAATATTGGATCAATTTGAAAAAAAAGTTTTCAGTTAAAATTCTTAAGGTGTATTAATTTGCTACAATTGTTCAATAAGCATGATATAAAATTGATGGCTTTCTGTATATTGATACTTCATGTAACATCTGTCATTTCTGAAAAGTTAAGGGAACAGAACTGATTACATTTATATTATTTCAGTTTTTGTTCCTACCTAGGTCTACCATTGCTTTCCAGCAGGGTTCTTTCAGCTCTGGTCCCTTTCCTGGAGTTAGGCCTCTTGTCACTACCTGGCAAGAGTCCTTCTGCACAGATCTGTCAACGGCAACTCTTCTCTGGGACAGCATATAGTTTCTGACAGGCTTGGCTTCCTTCCATCATTTAGGAATTCCCTGTTCCTCAGAGCACACCTTCCCAGACCCCTCATCCAGTGAGCTTTCCTGGACACTCCTCTCATCAGGAACTTCCTGTCTATAGAATCCACCTCAGCTGAGCCCTGGTAACCCTTTATCAGGCTCACTAGCTAATTAGCTGACAACCAGCCAGGGCATTTAATTATTTTCAGGTGGGATTTGAGTTGGCTAGTTCTTCCTTACAGGAGTGTGTCTCAAGTAGGCTAGTCCCTGACTCTTTTTATAGGACAGGTCCCCATGACAGTCACCCTATCAGTTTACATGGCTTGAACAGAAATAAAACAGCAGTAATCAACAGGTTCTTACAGAAAATCTCCTTAGTCATTAAGTAAACAAGTTATTTTGCACAAAAGCAAACTTCACCCAAATCCCTTCCCCAGTATCTCATTTCTTTGGAAGGATTACAGCTTGTTCAGTTGAACACACTGTAATGGGCCATGGCAATGGCAAGCTTTCACTACCTCTCCTTGCATGCTTGGGCAAAATAATCAAAAAGTCACTAGATAATAAAGGGCTACAGCATTGATGTTTAAACTTACAGTTCTCCAGTCTCATCTGTTGTTGAACTGCCAGTTTCGACAGTTTGATGTCTGACTAACAATGAGAAGGTCTCTATGCGCAGAAAAAGCAATTATAAATAAGCACAACCTTATAAAATCATATCGGAGATGAAAAAGACCAATTGGTCCATATCTGGTATATGAGCATGATATGTTGACTTCCATTAAAAGATGTATCAGATTTAAGTGCTTACTGTTAGCCTTTGTATCATAGTAGAGATGGAACATGTTACTGCAAGAATTACATTTCTAAAAAAATATATAGGTCGGAGGCTGGTGGAAATCATAAGTTTAATACTTTTCTTAATTAACTGTGTGTAGATAGGATCAGTCCTCGCCCACAGACAACCCGCCAACCTTAAGCATATTCTCACCAGCAACCACGCACCGCACCATAACAACTCTAACTCAAGAACCAACCCATGCAACAAACCTTGATGCCAACTCTGCCCACATATCTACACCAGCAACACCATCACAGGACCTAACCAGATCAGCTACAACATCACCAGCTCATTCACCTGCACGTCCACCAATGTTATATATGCCATCATGTGCCAGCAATGCCCCTCTGCTATGTACATTGGCCAAACTGGACAGTCACTACGCAAGAGGATAAATGGACACAAGTCAGATATCAGGAATGGCAATATACAAAAACCTGTAGGAGAACACTTCAACCTCCCTGGCCACACAATAGCAGATGTAAAGGTAGCCATCTTACAGCAAAAAAACTTCAGGACCAGACTCCAAAGAGAAACTGCTGAGCTCCAGTTCATTTGCAAATTTGACACCATCAGATCAGGATTTAACAAAGACTGTGAATGGCTATCCAACTACAGAAGCAGTTTCTCCTCCCTTGGTGTTCACACCTCAACTGCTAGCAGAGCACCTCACCCTCCCTGATTGAACTAACCTCGTTATCTCCATACTGATTTATACCTGCCTCTGGAGATTTCCATTACTTGCATCTGAAGAAGTGAGGTTCTTACCCACGAAAGCTTATGCTCCCAATACTTCTGTTAGTCTTAAAGGTGCCACAGGACCCTCTGTTGCTTATGTGTAGATAAGCTTTCTACAGTTTTTCTTAAGGAATGTCATTTCTGAAAAGCATTCCATACAGCCATTGTGTCAAGTTCCCTCATACACTATGGTAACTTTCATTTATTTATATGACACTGTGCAGTTCAGTGCTTTTGGCACAAGCCTCCCTTCTATACAATTCCATGTCAAGATTTAATACAGTCTATAGCTGTTAAACAGAATGTTTTCACAAAATGTCATAACACAGATGACTCAAAATAACAGTATTTAAAGAAAAAAGTTTGTGACAATAATGCAAGTTTGTATTTAAAATGTGTAGCCACATTAGAAGGTCTATTGGAATAATGCTATGTTCTGTCACTTCTGCTGCTTTTTAACCATTCTTTTCAACCCTCTGTACAACTTTTCTCTTTATCTTTAGTTTACTTTTTTTTAAACAAGTAACTGTCTTAAAACTTGGTCTCTCCTAACTTCAAACCACCACTCATCAGGGAAACATGATTTTAGCTAAGACTGGTGTATTTAGAATGAGTGGAGACTTTATGGTTTCGGTGATGAGATTAGGAGCGTTTTACTTCCAGGTCATCAGTTGGAATTCTGCCAAATTGATAGTGACTGAGACTTGTTACCATTTGATGACTGTTTGGTGGCCTTCATGAAATGAGTGAGCAGCTTCTGGCCAGTTCTTAGGAAATAGTTGTCCACCTCATTAAAACCGCTGTCACACATGGCACGTTTGTTTGGAGTTTCACTGGAGATCAACTTTTCAGTGTGCATAGAGACTGACTTTTGACCTATCTGTGTGTTCTAGAATTGTTTCCATCAGGTCCCAAAGCCTGCTACCAAGGATGTGTGGAATCTAAGTACTGTTATTCATGTGCTATCTGTTTTGACGAGGGAGGGGGGAAGAGAAAAATAAATTTCAAATTCTGCAGTTTGGTATCTTTCTTGATTATTGAATGTTCTCTCTCCCCCTCCCTTTAATTTATTAGTTTCTAAAGAAATTGACAATATTACTTTTCTCAATTATTAATTTCTTTATTCAAACACTTTTTCTGTCAGTTTTGTTGCTGATCCATTCATTTAAAGGATAGGAATATCATTTAATACATTTTTTTTAAAATTGTGATTAAACTGAGTATGCTGGCCACTGATACATTAGATTCTCTTCTTGCTTACCTCAGTTTTTACACTACTATAATTCCACTCCCAGTTTACACTTGCAAAAGTCAGAAAATTGTATCTGATGAGTATAAACATAAAAATGTCTTAACAATGCTTTGTGTTGTCCACTAGGTGGGGCACTAAGTTAACATACTGCAGATGATGTTGCTCCTTATGTGTATTTTTATTGAGCTAGAAGTGTTTTAAAGTAACTTGGGATGGGACAGGGTAGCAGAGTTCTGGTATTGTAGTTCTGGTATTCTGGTATACTAGACGTATTGTTTTTACAGCACCCCAAAGTGTGCTATTCACGTTACACAACAAGGTTCTTTACCAAAGGGTTTACACTCCAGATTTTAGAAGTAACAAGTGCGTGTAATAAGGAAACATACAAAATGAACAACAAACAAATATTTTTATAGTAACGGAGATATATATGCTGTCACATATTCTGCAGAAGAAATGTATTTTAATTCAGTTTATCCTACTCTCTTCCAGTTTACCCTTAATCGTATTCCCAGATGTCGGGAGGTGCGCCAGTCTTGGAGCTCTTCAGTACTGACAACACTGTACTCCATACTTTACTCCTTTCCTTTGACTTTCAGACTAAAGCCAGATTTGGTATGTAAAACAAACCTTGTTAATGGTGAAATGCTAATCTGTTCTAAAAGGGAGTAGCTGTTTGGGATATCAAACCATTAATGAATATACAATGTGTGTACACTTAGGCTTACGGTCCTTACTCGAGTAAAACTCCCATTAAGAAAGGACCACAGGATCAGGCTATAATGGTATGCTAGAACAAAATCCACGCTCCTTCTTACCAATCCAAAATTCTGTGTTTCTACTTAACAATAGACTAAATTCTTAAACAGATGAAGCTGTGCAGTGCTTTCACTTCTGCTATTAAAGATGTCTATGATATCATCTACAGAAGCAACAGAATTTTGAACTGATGTCAGGGAAGATATTTCTCTGTAGTAGGATATCTGAGTAATACCCTGACCATGCTTAATAGAGAACCTTTGGCATTGTAGTAAGTAGCGCAGTTGTCAAATATGACAGTGTGGCTTCACAGTCAGGAGCTGCATGTTGGAAAGGACACCCTGTAGATTTCTTAGTAGCCACTAAAAAGAAGGGAAGTGTTTAAATTTAATCCTGGAAAATCTACAGTTGGACTCCGTGGCTGGAGCCCTGTAAAATATCTGTAGTCCTGTGGCTGTGGAAGATAATAATTATTGACTTTAGCCCAAAATGTGGCCTAATTAGTTATTGAGTGATGTATGGCAAAGAATTTTTTATGAAATTTGCCAAATTTAATTGATATACTGTATGTAATTTTATATATTTTAAAGTAAAGTAGAATCTTTGTAATTGGCACTTTCAGGTGTCAAGTAAATGATTGTCCCAGTTAAGGAAGTTTCTTAGCAGTATATCATGCATATTCACTTTAATTAATTACTTAGTGTACTAAGCACCTAAGAATATATTAAAGTAAGTTTAAATCTCTTGTCATCCATATTGGAATAGGGATGCAGCAGGAAACAAACATAGGGTTGCACATTAGAAATCTAGGATACCAATGTATCCCTTTAGGTTTGCAAGGTAACTTGGTAACAAGGTCATTTGTAAGGTAACTCCCTTCTCTTCATGTGTCAGTATATTTATGCCTGCATCTGTAATTTTCACTCCATGCATCTGAAGAAATGGGGTTTTTTACCCACGAAAGCTTATGCCCAAATAAATCTGTTAGTCTTTATGGTGCTACCAAACTCCTCGTTGTTTTTGTGGATACAGACTAACACAGCTACCTCTCTGATATTTTAGGTTTGCAAGTAACTTAGCAAACTTCATTGAAGCTCATTGCACTCCCTCCATCATGCTGGTAGAAGCTGACACAGTCCAGATTGCAGGTGCTTGTTGATGGTTATCTCTGCAAGGAGTAGGAATGCAGTAGCACAAGCTACCTGCAATCCCTGTTCTTTAGCCTTGAGAGTGGGTGTGGCCCATCTAGGCAGGGCAGGTTCAGACCAAACAGGGATTCAGTACTTCACTTGAGCAGTACATGTCAATAGGGTTCTGACTAAATTTTAAAACTGCCCTGTTTCTGTATTTCTCTCTTTGGCACAGAGCCTCGGGGCACTTACTGGCCAATCTAACTTCAGGTGCCCATTTACATGGACTTTTCAACTACATGTCAATTTATTCAATTTTAGAGTCACTGAAATTAATTACTTAGGGTATGTCTACACTACGAGGGTAATTCGATTTTACTTAAATCGAATATGTGGAATCGATATTGCAAAGTCGAACGTGTGTGTCCACACTAAGGACACACTAAGGACAGTAATTCGACTTTGTGAGTCCACACTAACGGGGCGAGCGTCGATATTGGAAGCGGTGCACTGTGGGCAGCTATCCCACAGTTCCCGCAGTCCCCGCTGCCCATCGGAATTCTGGGTCGAGCCGCCAATGCCTTCTGGGTAAAAAAAATTTGTCGTCATCCGTCCGTCACTAACGCCCTCCCTCCCTCCATGAAAGCGCCGGCGGGAAATCAGTTCGCGCACTTTTCTGGTCAGTGACAGCGCGGACGCCACAGCACTGCGATCATGGATCACGCTGCGACCATCGCTGCACTTGTGGCCGTTCTCAACACCTCGCAGCTTATCATACACCTTTCCCTGAGGCAGATGCAGAGAAATCGGGCGAGGAGGCTACGGCACCGCCGTGAGAGCCTGAAGTCGGAGAGTGGCACAGAGCTGTCAGAAACCACGAGCCCCAGCACCCAGGACATCACGGTGGCAATGGGGCATGTGGATTTTGTTGAACGGCGATTCTGGGCCCGGGAAACAAGCACGGACTGGTGGGACCGTATAGTGCTTCAGGTCTGGGATGAATCCCAGTGGCTGCGAAACTTTCGCATGCGGAAGGGGACTTTCCTCGAACTTTGTGAGTTGCTGTCCCCTGCCCTGAAGCGCAAGGACACCAGCATGCGAGCAGCCCTGACTGTCCAGAAGCGAGTGGCCATAGCCCTCTGGAAGCTTGCAACGCCGGACAGCTACCGGTCAGTCGCGAACCACTTTGGCGTGGGCAAATCTACCGTGGGGGTTGTTGTCATGCAAGTAGCCAAGGCAATCGTGAAGGTACTGCTTCCCAAAGGTAGTGACCCTGGGAAACGCGCAGGTCATCATAGATGGCTTTGCCGCGATGGGATTCCCAAACTGCGGTGGGGCTATCGATGGGACTCACATCCCTATCCTGGGACCGGACCACCAGGCCAGCCAGTACATCAATAGAAAGGGCTACTTTTCAATGGTGCTGCAAGCACTGGTGGACCATCGGGGACGGTTTACAAACATCTACGTCGGATGGCCGGGCAAGGTTCATGACGCTCGCGTGTTCAGGAACTCTGGTCTGTTTAGACGGCTGCAGGAAGGTATTTACTTCCCAGACCACAAAATAACTCTTGGGGATGTGGAGATGCCTACAGTCATCCTCGGGGACCCAGCCTACCCGCTAATGCCCTGGCTCATGAAGCCCTATACTGGCGCCCTGGACACAGAAAAAGAACTGTTCAACTACCGTCTGAGCAAGTGCAGAATGGTGGTGGAGTGTGCTTTTGGCCGTCTCAAAGGGAGATGGAGAAGCTTACTCACTCGCTGTGATCTCAGTGAAACCAATATCCCCATCGTTATTGCAGCTTGCTGTGTGCTCCACAATCTGTGTGAGAGCAAGGGGGAGACCTTTATGGCGGGGTGGGAGGTTGAGGCAAATAGCCTGGCTGCTGATTACGTCCAGCCAGACAGCCGGGCCATTAGAAGATCCCAGCGGGACGCCCTGTGCATCCGGGAGGCTTTGAAAGCTAGGTTCCTGAGTGAGCAGGGCAACCAGTGACTTTTCAGTTTGTGGACAGAAAAGCTGAACCTGCCCCCGTTTCTTTACCCAGTTCATTTTGACTATCCTCTCCAGTTACATACCCCCTTCACCCCCTTCCCCTTCCCAAAAAATAAAATCATTTCGATTTTGTTAATGAACACCGTTGTCTGTATTGCTGTTTTCGCGGGAATATTTTAAACCAGGGACGCAGACTGTGGCGGGGGGCGGGTTCAGTGTTCTGATGCAAATGATGCTTCTAAACTCCCGGAATGACAGGCTCCGCACTGGTGGACTGGTTATTTCAATGGAGCCTGCCAGCACTCCTGGGGGGGACTGTGTGTATGTGTCGGCTATGTGACTTTCTGGCAGGGGGGGTAGGGTTACAGATCCCCTGCTGCGTGGATCTGTGAGCCATGATAAGGACCGCTGCATAAGATCTGTAACTGCCCTCCCCCGCCACAAAGTCACAGAGCAACCCCCCCCCCCCCAGAACATGAAAAACACCTCCCAGACTGACCAGGGTAACCAGTGACTGCACTGTGTATGTGTCCTGATGCCGGACCTGACACCGCCTCTGTACCCTGCTAAAGGTCACTGTCCTGTCCAATTACCAAGCCCCTTCCCCCCCTCCAGACAGACTCTCCCTCAAAAGAACCTGACTGAAACAGTAATGGAGAGAAACAAACATTTTATTGCGAACCAGACATGAAACGTGGGGTGTGAAACTTGGACGGGGGCTTGTGTGAGGTGGGTAGGAAAGGACTTATGAAATTTTGGGGAATGTCAGCCTTCTAGTGCTAGAGCAGTCTGCAGGGGTTGACTGAAAGTTTTAACGGCCCTTGCCGCCCCTCCTTCTTTGGAGTTTGGGTGAGGGTGGTGTGGGACTTGGTGGCGGGTGAGGGCGGTTACAGATAGACTGCAGCGGGGCTCTGTCCTCCTGCCTCCGGTCTTGCAGAACATCCACAAGGCGCCGGAGCGTGTCCGTTTGCTCCCTCATTAGTCCAAGCAGCTTTTCAGTAGCCTGTTGGTCCTCCTGACGCCACCTCTCCTCCCGTTCCATGACTGCTCGGTGCATTTGTGACAAGTTCTCCCTCCACTGTGTCTGCTGGGCTGCCTGGGCTCGGGATCATCCCATTAGTTCTGAGAACATGTCTTCACGCGTCTTCTTCTTCCTCCGCCTAATCTGCGCTAGCCTCTGGGAGTGTGCTGACAGGCTGGGTTGGGAGACAGTCGCAGATGTGTCTGTGTGAATTGTAAAAAGGGAGTGAATTCCTGAGACAGATAAATGAAATTGTATACAAAGAACCTAGTCTTTCTCTGTGAACAAGACCATGCACTGAACCTCTCACATGCGCACTCAGGACAAGGTCGAATTTTCGGCCGTCGCCTTCAGTGCCTGTGGACTTGCGGAGGTCTTGGAGTGATCTGAGAAGCGTGGCTGGAGACCTGAACTTCTGGAGCGGGCAATAATGGTAAGCCGCAGACTTGTGGCTGCTTAAAACTCCAGCAGTAGCACTGGCCTCCTTTCACATTGAAAGCAATGCCAGTCTCTGCTGCCAGCAATCAGGACAGCATCAACTCTGCCCCTGTCCCACCCCCTCGCGGCTGTCCCAGGGAAAGATCCCTGTATGCTGCCCCTCTCCCTCCACCGCGTGGCTGTAAAGCAGTCCCAATACTAACATTCCCCTCCCTAATTCAAAGCAGGGCGTCATGAGCGACATCACCCTCCTGAGGATCCCGGACAC